TTTAAAAAATTTTGGTGTAGAGAATCGGCATCCGCGCGAAAAATTACATTAGAAAATCTTTCTACTATCTTTAAATACCAAACAGGAAAATTATAAATCGAGTGAGACACTTAAAATGATGTCCCTGTACAGCTATATTTTTGAAAACAATAAGACTGGATATTTCGTTACTAAAACAGATATCTACATCTATACCTTTGTCTATACTCTATACATACATACGAGGCGTTTCAGAAAAGATGAGAAGGATACGAAAACAATATAGCATATACGGGGTGTTTCAAAAAATATGTGCCATATCTCGTGGGGAGATTCCTCACGTAAAAATTAATAAAAGATTTATTTTTCATATCGACATAGGCCCTATTCTGCTTTGTTTCGTAGCTTGATTTATTATAAAGTTTTTCTTCCAAGTACTTTCAACGTTGTGAATAAAATTTTGAGGGTAAAAGCACAGGTAAAAGTTATTCTAAATGCGACATATTTTAAAGTTAAAAAAGTGTCGACATATTAACCAGGGACGTGCATATGGGTTATCACCGAATATCAATCATCAGAATAATTTTCTAAAAAACATATGTACGCCACTGACTTTTTTTTTCTTGTTAGCGGAATAGTGTAAGCAGGTTAATGCTGCTTAAAAGTTGTCTCTTGATATTTTGTCGATTTATGTCATCATTGGCATGAATTAAACATGTTGACTAAATAATTATTAGACTGAAATCATAAATTTTAAATTTTTTTGAGCTAAAAATTCAACAGAAATTGTTTTATAATCATTTTTTCGAAGAAAAATTTATGATTAATTTAAAAAAAATAAAATTTCCCAAATTTATTATTTCAGTCAAATAACTATTATAAAATAGAAAACAAATTTCTTGCAGTATAGGTATATAATAAAATTATATATGGATTCTTGCCACTTAACTGCTGATATAGAAATTTAATTCTACGCTGTGTTTGTCATAATGTGGATCACTACCTGCTCTCACTACCGGTTTCGGAGCCCTACTCCATCATCAGGTGAGCTTGGGCAGATCCACAAAATGACAACCACAGCGCAGAGATAGTTAATTCCGACTTGTCGGAAAGTGTCGGTTAGATATTCAGTCCCGAACGGGAGATAGCGGCCTGCGTGCAATGGTAGTACTTTCGTACCACCGAGGCGAAACTATCGATAGTAAAAAGATGGTAACAGGCTTTTTTTCAGGCAAGCCAAATTATAAAATAGAAAACAAATTTCTGGCAGTATAGGTATATCGCCTCGGTGGTACGAAAGTACTACCATTGCGCGCAGGCCGCTATCTCCCGTTCGGGACTTAATATCTAACCGACACTTTCCGACAAGTCGGAATTAACTATCTCTGCGCTGTGGTTGTCATTTTGTGGATCTGCCCAAGCTCACCTGATGATGGAGTATGGCTCCGAAATCGGTAGTGAGAGCAGGTTGATCCACATTATGACACAGCGTAGAATTAAATTTCTATATCAGCAGTTAAGTGGCAAGAACCCATATATAATTTTATAACTATTATCCTATTATATATACCCAACATGTTTATTTTTTGTCAATAATGACATATGTATTGACTATTTCCATTTTAAATATCTTGAGAACGGTTGCTCGTAGCGATTTTTACCAAGAGACATTTTTTACGTAAAAAGTCACGGAAATGCATATTTTTTCACGAAGTAGTTTTATACAGGTAGGGACAAAAATGTATTATTTTTCAAAATAGTTAAGACACATGTAGGTGGCGCCCCCCTACTAATAGGAGCTTTGAAAAAGAAGACTAAGGAAGGAGCATAATGCTATCCATGTATTCATGCATGGTGGGCGGAAAAAGCACTCTAGGGTGGGGATCCTTGAGAGTTCTGTTTGAAACATTCCAATGTGTCAAACAAGGACAGAAGAGACAGAGAAATCTAAAATTTCCGACCCCGGCAACTAGGCGCATTTGGATTGTTCTAATGGCCAGTGGCGTATCATTTTTTGGAACGAATTTAATTAGTAAAGTAAAAGTAAAGTAATTAGTAAAATTTTTACTTCATATTAATATATTACATTAACACTTTCAGATGACTTTTGTTATAAGGTCTAATATAATAATATAATTAATATCCCACATATACTTGTGTTGAAACGTTAGTAGTTTTCGAAAATCGCTCCAACGTCGATTTTCAATTTTAAAACTGAAACAGTTTAAAGAATATAAATATTTATCAGTTACTTCTATATAAACTTTTAGTTACTTGAATTTTTACAGGGTGACTCAAGATGCCGAAACAGTTCTATATTAGGTTTAAATGGTTGGTAACTTTTCTTCCATTTTTTTTTAGAATATGGAGGCAATGGTAAAGCACATTTTAGACATTTTTGTCTAAAAAAATTAATTTGTCTAAAAATTTGTCTTTGTTGAAACATAGGTGGCGGAACATATTTTCAAAATATAGTTATAGATTTGACATTAAATTTCCATTCCAGAAATACCTAGGGTTGCCACCTGTCCTTTTGAAAAGGACAGTCCTTTTGGAATAACTTGTCCTTTTGACTTTTTTGACTTAAAAAGTCATTTTTGTTTATGTATTTTCCCTGAGAAAATTACCTATAGCAAACAGAAATATTCTTTTCGTCCAAATTTAATTAGAGATGTTAACTTATAAATAAAATTTTCTTGTTTAGAATAGGCAACATTATTTAGAACTTCCCCGTTTAATCTCAAATGATAGTTTAGGTTTTAGTTTTACCTTTTTTGATCTTAAAAGAACTTTTCAAAATTAGTAATTAGTAACGATTTAGTTAGTTCGCAATCGATAACTTACACCTCCACCTCCCCCCCCACTCATCCTTTTGTTTCATAGTACAATGTCCGTTTTCTACTTTGCACAACGGTGGCAACTTTAGAAATACCCTCTCTTAAAGCCCTCCCAAAATTCTAAATTCAAATAATTTTTAAAACTGTTTACTGTAAACAACATAAAATTAAACAATTGACTTTCGTCCGCGACGGACCGTCCGTCGTGTTTTTTTAAGATAGCCGTCGGACGAACTCCGTCGGACGGAGCATACGCGCCCATGTGAAATTGTTCATATAAACTCATGGTACTTGCTTCATCTGAAAGCGCTGTAAAGCAATAAAATGTAAAAAAGGTCGGGTAAACACCTTTGTTTATTTGTTGAGCAAAATTCCTTTAGAATATCGTATACCATAATGATCAAAATATGACGCAATTTTAAGAGATCAAAAAAATGTCGCTTTCTGGCTTATAATAAAGCTTCAAATGCAATGTTTATATCCAAATTTGTTATGATCTACAACAGTTTGTAATTGAGACGAATTATAATTCAACTACCGGCTACTACGTTCTTGATTTAATAGATCAAAATTCAACAAATATACCTAATTAGAAATTATTGTGAGAGGCTCCCTTGTGGGACGCCTATGTACAATTACGGCGGAAAAAACAATACCTAGGTACCTGTGAAAAGACAAATTCGGGTAATTTGAGCATATTTTTCCACACACTTGTCACTGTCGTACCATAATGAAAATTCGCAGATTCAAAAGTACGTTAAACAAAAACAAAAACTACTGAAAAACACTGAAAAGTTCACTTCGGTCTTGATTCCGACTTCAAACACATCGTAAGCTAAACGTAGTACGCTATAACGGACCAAGGGCCGTCGCGAGGGTTGGTGGGACGGACGGCTCATTTCATTCTGGAAGACTAGCAGCGACGTTGCCAATAGTTCTAGACGTTTCAGCACATTAATAAACTGTCCTTTAATAGTAATGCATATAATATATCCTCTGGTTAATAACCATATTATTACGCATGCTTCTTTAAAAATAAACTATTAATTTAATTAAGAAATTGAGATTTATTGATATCCGGTGAAGATTTTAAAGTCACCTTTTCTGCAAATCAAATTAAGTAGATAGGCGCAAATTTGATATGTGGCAATGTCGCCTTCTCTATCTCAGTTGGTTTTTACAGTACGTCGTCAACCTCCGATTGTTTGATCGGGTTAAAATGCAAAATGTTATATCTGTTCTTACTAAATCTATAGCATAATGCTATCCATGTATTCATGCATGGTGGGCGGAAAAAGCACTCTAGGGTGGGGATCCTTGAGAGTTCTGTTTGACGATTCATTTGACACATTTGAATTTGATTTGAAATTTTGTGGATTTGTCAGTCTTTACGGAGCTTATTTTATGTTATTTATTATTTATTCTACTACTGATAGTTGTATAAAGGTAGTAAATCTAGATGGAAATTGTGGCAGAACTTAAATTAACAGTGACACTATCGCGATTTATCGAAAAAGACTCTAAAATAGTTTGTTGCGATTAGATGTCAAAGAATTTAGATACGTTAATTTGACTTACCTGCTTTAATAGCGTATCGGATGTTTATGTTAATAAATACTTATTATAACTTATCTATTTTTATTAGAATTATATATTTTTATAACAATTTTAATAACTACCAACATTTATTCACAACGTAAAATAAAATAACAAATTATTGAGTCTACCCACGTCTACCCCTACATCATAGTTTTACATTTTTTTTAAATAAAATTAGAACGACACTGATAAAACGGAATTTAAGTCGGCCATATTTGAGGCCCATCGCGGTGTACCTAAGATTTTTGATATGCTCCTTCCTTAGTCTTCTTATTCAAAGAATAGGAGTCATATCGACATCAAAATCTCTCTTGTCAAAAAACTCTCAACACCAATTTTCATCCAAATATTGACGTTACTTCACAAATTATTTGGAAAAAAGTCGAAATAAAAACGAAAGTTCTACACCCTGTATCTCCGAAACTAAGCATTTTAGGACATATATTTATACGATTTATTTTGCTTATTTTTATCTGCAGAATATGCTGCCATAGTTGTAACACCCTGTATACTGTATAGTTCGATAAATTGACAGAAAAACTGTTTACTACAGACTGGCATTTTGTGATGTTATTCTGTAACGAGAAAAAAAACATTGTTTTGTAACAATTTATCCATTTGCAGAATTTCTAGAACCACTTTTGAGACTGCCAAATTTGCATCGCCAGTGCATGAGGTGTTTGTGCCACGTGGCCACGGAATGTGACTTGACCAGGGGCTGCGTGAAAGGCTATTGCGGCCCCTATAAAATCAGCAAAATTTATTGGAAGGACGCCAGTGAGGTCACCCTACCTGATGATGACAAAGAACGAGCAGGAGGTACACGAAACCTAAAAAATAAAGTGTTCTAGTGTTGATTTGCGTAATTTTCTGATTAAACCTGATTAAACACGAAAAAATAAATTGAATTCTTAGTTCCGTTCTGTATACAGGGTCTGGGATTAGTATGTCGGTCATCTGTAGCTCATAGAATAAAAAACTTGGTAATTTTGTGTAAGTACAAACCTATAGGACCTATAGTATGTACTAAGATGTATTTCAGGAAAAAAAAATTAGGATGGCTCAAAAAAGTATCAACAAAAATAAAAAAATCAACAAAATTGGTCCATTTTTTTCAAAGTTACAACTCGTATGAGTAATGAGTAATGAGTAAAAAATTGCTGTGATATTTAATTTGATGTAGTTTTGAACGTTTTTATTCTAGGAGCTACACAGATGTCCGACGCATTATTGCCGGCCCCTGTATAAATAAACTTGATTTGTTTTTATTTTTAGCTTACGAAGACTGTGCCTTATCATACCAATGTGCCCAAAGAATAGTACTAAACTACATAGCTAAATACGGAAGGGTATCTACCATTTTTTGACCTATTTCTCTACATAAAAAAGAACGATAATAAATACGATTATATTGGAACCTTTTTTTAGGATTGTAATAATGACGGTGTCACCGACTGTGATGACTACATGATGATCAACTTCAACGGTGGATACCAGTGTCATCCGCCACTGAACAGAAGTGAAGCAGGAGTAGGATGGTTACAAAGATACAAAGCATGTAATCCTAAGTTATACTGAATGCTACATTGTGTTATATACTTTTAAAATACTTGTAAATTACAAATAGTTATAATAAAATTTTGTGTGTGTTTTTATAGCAGAAAAATAGAAAATATATAATGTAAACAGGGTGTCATTGAAATGGTGTAAAAAAAGATGTTTTAAAAATCATGAAATTTTTGATTTTCCAATTAATTATTTAATAACTACTTGGTTACTTTTGAACCACCATAACTTTCATAAGTTTATGTTGATTAACCAGTTAGCAACCCATCAGAGCAAACTCTAAGTATTTAAGTTTATTTCTTTAGAAATTTCTTTGACTCGCCTTGTATAGAATTGTAATTTATAGGATCTCCAAGCCCTACTATTTATTTCTATTTTCTTATACTCAATACATCGTCCTGGCGAAACAAGATTTTCTATATGCACAATACCGGATTTTCTCATTAACTATAATTAGCAACTTAATTGAGTATACGGAATTATAGTCAATAAGTTATGTTTGTAAGGATTTTCCACAGGTGTATTTGAAACAATAAATTTATTTGAATATCTTCATGTACAATTAGGTATTAATTTATTGATTTGAAGATATTATTTTTTATGTTTAAATCAACATAAAACAAAGAGAATATAAATTACAAAACTCCCATAAGATGATAAATATAAAGAAAACGATAGTACTTACATTAAATTCCAGAGAAATAATAGATTTCAATACAAAAGTTCCATTAGCACCAAATAAAAGCACGTTTTAAATCAACACACCGTATAAAATGCCACTTGTGTAATCATAAAAATACACAAAATAGTTCAAATGTATTGAAAACTTTTATAAACAAATCTTTTTTTCTGTAGTCTTGACAGGCAAAGCATTCCATAGCCAACTTTTAAACATTTCTCAAGCGCACTGTGTCAAATAAATAGAAAAATTAATGCCAATTCTACACTAAGTTTTTTTCAATAACTTAAGAAATGATCCAGACGTTGACGATATTTTTTTATTTAATATTTCTTTATATTTTAGAGCTTAGAGTATATTTTTAAATAAAATTGGCTTACAGAGTATGTCAATGATAGAGTAAAGTAAATTATTTTATTTGTTTGAAGAAGTACCGTATGATCGAAAAAAACGGTGTCGAGTTGGCTTGGCTTGGAAATGACGATCGATGACAGTCCCCATATAATTTTATATATAAAATTACAGCGATCTTCATTTTATAGCCATTTTTGACCCCTTTTTTTCGAACAAATTTTTCGATGTTTAAAATAACCACATTTTATTATCTTAATTATTAATTTATTTAGTCAATAAACGTCAAACTAGGATTTTTATGTTTCCATCTGTTTTTATTTATTTATCTCAGACTTTACCCATTTTTATGAGCAATAAAAAAACATTAATGATGATGAAAAACACAATGATTTTTATTGAAAAATATTTTATTTTTTCACAGTCTCACAAAGTAAAAACTTCACATATATTACCATTAGGAAATGTAATACCATAATAACACTGACTTAAGTTATAGTATAATAATTGAACAAACATATTGGCACATTTTTAACTAAAATATTAAACACACACATTTAGAAAACATCTTTGATGTTTTCTATCTACATCAGACACAAACAATGCACAGCAACTTAAAGAAAAGCTCAAGAAAGAAAGAAAATCATATAAATAGTATTAGAAGAAAGATAAATTTCAGATTTGTTTAAGAAAATTCATTTCTATCAACGTCCAGATCCAACGATAGCTTTGCATTGCCTGTAGCGTTCTCCGTAGGGTTCTGGAAGGGCCACACCTTTGCAACCATATCCTCCAATCTTGTGGATAGCAGCAAAATCGTCACAGTCGATTTTACCATCACCATTGCAGTCCTAGATAAAGGAAAAATAATGTAAAATAAATCAATTTTGGGGTTCCTTTTTTTGTGTTTTTTTTATAGTAAATAAAATTAACATTACAAAAGATTCTTATAGGTATCAAAGTAACAAAAAGAGTGAATCAGATATCGCTATAAAGTGGAATTTATTCATATAACTTCAAAAGAAGTGGTCAGAACTATTTCATACTGACTTGAGCCGATTTCTTAGTCAAATTACATGTGTGAATTACGGTATAGAGTACAGTCAATCTGGCATCAAAAAAGGTCTAGACTCCCATCAAATATACACATGGTCAAAAGTATTGCATATATCGTTTAAAAATATATAGAAAGGAATTTAGAGAATCCTGTTTTATACATAACTTTGGTAATCTGTAATAAACATTTTTTTTTTTTGTTAAAATGGATATATGGTAAACGATGTTTATCGTTCAGACCCAATATTATTACAAATTCTTGCACATTTCGATTTGTAGTCTCTTGGGTTACAGTTGAGGGTTGGAACCTTTGGTGTTACACAGCAAAATATTGGGTTTCAGAAGAAATTTGACCATTGTTTTGGCCTTAAAATGCCCAGAAACATTATTTCACAGTTTAATAGAGTCAGAGTAGTAACACTGTTTCAACAGGGCTACCGGCAAGTTGTAATAGCTGAAACTGTAGGAGTTAACCAAAGCGACGTTTCTCGAATATTAAAAAAAATCAGGGAACAAACGAGGTTACAGACCGGCCTGGAAGAGGTAGAAAGAGAGTTACTACTGCTGTGCAAGACCGTCAAATATCCCTAACTGCACGACGCAATCCCCTGCTTTCTAGTACTGCTATTAAAAATGAGTTAGCTCGCTTTGAAGGAGTAAATGTTTCAAGAAAGACTATAGTAAGAAGACTCCATGACAGAGGATTACATTTAAGGAGGCCTCTACGTGTTCCG